AAGCAGTCAGTGCAGCATCAATTATGAGACCCAATTGTATGTAAGTAGGAGTTGGCAGAGCACACCACCACCAATGGGTTTAACTTGAACTCTAAGTTAGGATCTACTCTCACTACTTAAAAATTCAAAATAGCTTCTGCTGCCCAGCTGCAAGATGGAAGATCTTAGCAAAAGATTGACTGTGTTTACCCATAAATGACAAATTCTGGCAAAGAATAAGGTTAAGGGAAATGGTACATTGAGCACTGACAGTTAGAATTATATGTTCAGTAAAACCTCATTAATTCACCCTGAGAGATTAATGATTTACTTACTTGTGATCTAAGAAACACTGCAGTGGGAAAAAGAAACCAAACCAGGAAACTGCATAATATGTAATTTGTTCACTATTTTGACAAGTGTTGTTTACTTATAATGTAATAATTGACCAATAAAATGTAACATAACGTATTTTAGAAAATAATGAAATCTTACCAACCAGAAACTTCTTTATAGCACCTAGCTAAATCTTTTAAAATAGGTACTAAATCTTTTAACAAGGTACTATAGAACTAAAATAACATATTTCCACCATTATCCGTAAGTAAGGCAAAAGAGTCTAATACTTTACTGTCTTGTTAGAGTTCAAAAGAATGATATGAACAGTATGTTCTAGCGAGTTGTGGATAGAAAAGAGGTACTTAATTAGGCCTGCACAGTCTGTTCTGACATCAGATGCTTTGGACATGCATACAAGTCAATATAAACTAAAGGCCAATCTGATAAATGAACTTCAAATAACAAGCAGCAAAGCATTTCTTGTGAGACAGTCAAATCTCATCCCACAGTGACATCCCCACAGGAGGAAGGCAGTCTCTGTGCTCCTGCCCACAGGAGCTAGTCAGCATATTGTCAACCATGGGTTTACTTAATAGCAAAAGCGATTAGGTTGACAAGCTTCTTATTTCCAACTTGATGCAGTCCAGGTTTTGATACTTTGAGTCAGGGCTCTAAATCATAATTAGTAGTCTGAAGAACAGAAATCAGGTATTTTCTCTTCACTGACAAACTCCCATTTCCAGGACAGGCATTGTGGGTGCCTGGAACCTTGGGCTACATAATGCTCACAGAATCTGAAAGAGCGTTTAGAAGAACACCACAATATTTAGGTAATCACACCATTGTTTCTGAACTGGAAGGATGAATAAGAGAATAAACTCAGTGCAGTATAAAAACATCTTATAAACCAAATCCTCTTTGTACTGTTTTCTTTAAATGAAAAGAGAGATGTGTTATTCTAATCAGAAACAACTGACACCCTAGCTCTACTGGATGTTTTGCTTTTAAGCTAGCTTCCTTTACTTATACATATTCTGTAATATAAACTACATGGTTTTACTTGATTTTATAACCTTACTAGCAAACTTCACTTAAAGTGGAAAAAAAAAATAAATCCCCCTTTACATAGTTAATACAAACCTCATTTACCAGTGAGTGGACAATGAATTCACAAGTCTTAGTTAGGTCTTTTGCCAGCAGAGACCGTCGCATATCACACCGTAGGGTATACTGGAAAGAACAGGATGGCAGAGAAAAAGAAAAGAGCCTTAGTTAAGATTTCCTCTCTCTCAACTTCTCATCTTTTTATTGCATATGTGCAGAATGTTACAGTTGTTAATATTTAAGGCACTGTTTAAAACAGATTAGTAGGCAATGTACATACAAGTGATGGTGAGAGGGGAAGGAGATAAGAGGTATACAATTATTTTAGATGCTTCCAAACGAAAGCTGATTTTTCTTTGCGTTTTACAGACCCACAGTCATTTGCAAATGTCTTCCATATCTTCTGTGCTATGTAATAACCTAAGACTGAGGTACTAATTCACTGACAGAGAATGGTATTCTTGCATAACTTCAGCACCCAAATTACATTCAGTTAAGAATGATTACAGTATTGCTTTTCATCATACTTTGGATAAGTGATTATCAGTAAGATATATTCACAGCCCCTCTCATTTTCAATTTATTGTAAGATTGAATGTAACAGTGGTAAGTTATATGCATATTTAACGGGGAACTGTCTTTAACCATATAGCTGAACTTAAAAGCAGCTGCGTGCAGACAAGTCAGACACCAAGGTTAATTTTGCTGTTCACTGTTCAAAACCTTGCTGCTGGTTTCCTCCCCTAAAAAGGGAGCCATAAACCAACGACTGAAAAATAGTATGACCTTGGTTATCACAGTAATCACACTTCAGTATCTAGAACATAGCCTTTCAACGTCCTTACAAGATAAGGAATTTCTTGAGTGGGTTTTTAATTATTTTGCTTGTTTTGTTTCAAATTCCTCTTTACAGATGAGAAATCAGCAAGAACAGATGCACTCAGATTAAGGGACTCTGCTTCCTAACTTCTAGTTGATGGCATGGTGTCTCTCTGCACATAACCTGAATGTGTGCAAGAACGAGACCGGGGAGCTTCTCTCTTTCCCCATCACAGACTATGGTTTCCACTGAAGTTGAGGGCTGTTGAGCAAACCTTTTATTACTGCACTACCCTTCACTCAGCCCAGGGAACAGTGCAGTGAGGCAGTAGAACATCCAGGCCTTGCAATCTGGCCCACAGCCTCTCCATCAGTGTCTAATTAGAAGGTCTCTGTATGAGAACAGAGACCTGAATCTTGATACTGAATCCCCAGCTAACACACTAATACCTAGATCAAGGTAAACTGCACAGGACTTGGACAGAGGTCTAGGAAGTGTTTCTTAAACAGCACTTCTAGTTTCTAAAATTAAGAAATAAATAGATGGTATATTGTTCATGGTTTGTTTTATCATTACTTCATTAGGACAGAGAACAAATATAAACATGTTAGAAGCAAATTAATTATTTCCTTTGATTTACTTAAAACTAGCACAGTTTTTAACTGTCCAAGCCTGATTTTCTAGAAAACAGACTTAACATTCCCCAATTTCTATCTATGTATCTATTTTGTCAGGTATCAGTGGACCTTAAATATCCTTGGGAGAGACCACATTTTCCTCTTCAGGAGAGCAGGATGCTCAAAGATTGGCTGAAATCTAGCGATTAGCCTTTTAATTACATTTTATTCCCAGCTTGTAAAGAGGAGCTATATAGATGAGAGAAGGAATGACAAAACAAAACAGATATTCACCATCAAAGTATAACTTAAAACAACTAACATTGATCACAGGCAAGTTATCTGGATTATGGAAAGCAACACAGCAACAAAACAACAACAACAACAAAAAAATTAGAACAAAGCCCAAACTCACAAACCAAAACACCCCACTCCTCAGTAAAGAAAAACACTGTCTAACACAATATTTACATTTAAGAAATGGCTGAAGACAGACTTTCCCTAAAAGACAAAACCAAAACACACACACACCAGAAAGGGGGAAAAAAAAAAACCAACCCACCAAAAAACCACAACCGCAAAAACAATGAACCCACCTATGGTAAGACAGTTTTTAACAAAAAAAGGTCAAATTTCAAAATTGTGTTTCCACAATATTCTGTTACAAGCATGTAGTACATACAGATTTGGCCAGGAAATGCTACTACCCATCTCCACAGGAAAGCAAACAATTCATGTTTTCAAAGATGCTACAATCTCTAAAACTTTGGTTTGAGTCTCCATTATGAAATTACACAGCGGCATTTGCTTTGAACAAAAGGACACTGTGGTGCAGTCTTTTGCCATGAAGGGAATGGATGTAGTTGTCTACAACAAAAGAAGGGTTCAAATACATCTTACAGTAGTTCTCAAAAGGTATTTCAGCCAAGACATCTTATTACTGTTCTGTTTATGCCATCACTTACTGCAAAGATTTCCTCTAGTTTGAGTACATTTCTCAAGTGAATGCAGGAAAACAGCTTCTGAACACTAGCTCGCTTTGCTCCTGTTTAATTCATCCCTGTGTCTTAAAATGGATTTGCTAAGTCAGTACACTTCATGTTTAATATTAAAGTACTATTAGCAGTAATTGGTTGTCTACTATGCTAACAAAGCATTTCTCTAGTACATGGCATCTTACACCTGATCAGTTTCATTGCCTTTAACTATTTCCAGTGAAAAACTTAAAACTTGCTGAAAAGGGAACTGATATAACATTAGCAACATTATACTGATTCAATTCTGAGACCTTAGGATGGTTCCTCTGCCACATTTAAGAGGCATTACCACCTGTGGAAAATGCTGACTCCTACAAACTGGAACTGAAAAAGGCAGCTAGAAACTATGTACAAACTAGTACCTACAAGGTTAACATGTATCATGATGTTTAATCTTAAGTTATAGCTAGGAAACACAGTACACATCAGAATAATGCTATATTAATAAAGGGAAGCTTAAAAGCTACTCACTTCAAAGGATCTCTAACTTTCTGCTCATTCTACAAATTGAGGAAAGAAAACATACTGAGCTATGAAAAGAAAACTTTATCACAAACTTTATCCTCTGCTTCCATGGAATAAGAGATGCTTAAAAAAAAAAAAACAAACAACGTTCTGCAGATAACAAAAGTTCAGATTTTCATTACAGATACGAGTGCCTTACCTGAATATTAACAAAGACACCATGATACGTCTCATACAGAACTTTGTTCCCCTTCATATGCAATGGAAATTCAAACGGAATTTCTGTCTTGCCACTGGGAAGTTTCCCTGGTTTTACCATTTCAATAGTGCTGTTAATAATTTGAATAGGCTGAAAAGATAAATATTTAAGAGGTTTAGGTTGAAGCAGAGCGACAGCTCCATCATTTCAAGAACAAACATCTCCTAAACTCTAACAGACTTCCTGAATTTCCCGAGACTCAGGTATTCTTTCACAACACACAGCTCTCCAGTCTTACAATGAAAATAAGTATTAAGAATGCTTTCCTCAAGAAAACAATTTGTGATCTGTTTTATTGTTGTATCATACTAATGATCAAACATATTTAGAGAGCTAAACAGCAGAGTCTCAAGCACTTTGGAAAGCAAGGTTCCATTCTCTGAATTATGACCCCTAAGAGTAGCAGCAGGAATCAGTAAGTATGTGTGCCAGTCAGCCATTCCCTCCTACCTTTTCCCCAGCCCTTTCCCGCCCTAAAGATCTCTATTTAGGGCTAGTCATTCACTGGAAAAATGGTTAAGTACAATGCGACTGGAGAAGTCTATGTGAAGATTACAATTCTTTTCTCTCTCAAGTTTTCCTATTATTTTCTCCTCTATTAGACAAGAATAAGAAAATCTATTGCTTCTACTGTTTTTTCTGTTTTCAGTCATTCATGGGCAGATTATTCACAATGCAAACAAATTAACTGACATATAAATGAAGACCTTAAAAGGTCTTGCACCTAGGCTATCCAAACTTTAGCAAACTGTTTTGCAAATATAGCTATGCTGCCTCTAGACAGAGGCAGCCGTGCTTCAACCAGTACAGCCATGTTCACATGGAGCCTGAGGTAACTTGCCCTGCTAGATTCCAAACCTCACACTTTCAAACCTGGAGAGCAGTACAGAGGCCTTCCAGGAGCTCCGCAGTCAGACTGTGCACAGCCTCGTACTCCACAGAAGTACCTGTGCAGGTCCTGTACCATGCCTAATAACACATAGCCTCAATGGCCTCTGCAGAAACTATTGTGATAGTGACCAGATTGGCACAAAACTCCAACTAAAACTTAGTCACTTTAAAACAAAAGAAAAAAAACAACAAACAACTTGCCACATAATTTATTATTTTTCCTTAAAACATGGTCCTTCAATGCACTGTCCAGTAACCATACTATTTATGTTACTGAATTTCAGATCTAAAGAAAAGTCTCCAATCAGTGCAAGTACCTAACTCCAAAATGTCATCATATGTCCCTAGATAACACTGAGCATTTCTCTGTTTTCTATCATTTACATACCAGGAAGTGCTATATCTACCTTTGCAGAAGGTCATTAAGGAAAGATTTAAATTGAGAAAAGAGACAAAAATTCTGTGCTAAAAATATTAACTTGCACAGGTCTTACCTTGACAGAGTTATAGAAAGCTTCAAACACACCCACACTTTTGGCACTAAGCTGCAGATTTACTGATCCTTCCATGGTTAATGAGATACCTTGGTGCTGGACTGTGTCCTTGCTTGTTATGACCACGACTCCTGAAAGAATTTCCTAATAGGAGAAAAGAAAATATGAAAACATTTCTTCAAATAAGTTTCTTCTGTAGCTGTCACTCCGGCAGCACGCTAACTGATTTTCAGACTCAAGAGAACTGTTCCCAGAGAACAGTCTAACCTTGACATTGTCCTAACTGGCATTAAAGACAAATACTGATAATGAAAGCAATGTGAGGAAGAAACCTCTGTACTTCCAAGTTTGTTTTCTTCAAACATAGTCTCCTCCTCCTTGCAGAAGTACTAACCTGAGCTTCAATTTCTTTTCAAATTACCAATATCTTCCTTTCCAGGAGGATGAAAACTATCCTCACAAACAACTATTGGATCAGTAGGTAACAGACAAGTTCCATTTCCCATGTTAGAATGAAATTAAAATTTTACTTAGAATTTTTATATGAAGAGTGGGACAGTCAGCCACAGGAAATGGAAGAGAAGGCATAACCGTAAGAGCAACGGCCAAGCTGAGGATAAGACTTGCCTCAAGAGTGGACTGGAATAGACTTCAAATATCAAAGACTCAAGTCATTTGACTCAAGAGTTGCATAATATCCCATTAAGAATGTTTTGTCTACAAAATTATTTGTACACAAACACTGCATCTTGGAATTACCAACTTTGAAGTTGGTAACACTGAAAGAGAATCAACTGCAGGAGAACAATACACAGTTCATTTTACATACCCCACAGTTTATCCTTCCCTTCTCCTACAACAGAGGATCCACTCCAATCCAGTGTCCCATGTCAAACATTCATACACATCTGGAAATAGCAGCAAGTGACTTGAGAACCTGAAGAAAGTTTCTTGAGACTAACCTCCTCTTCTGCTCGACAGTAATGCTCTCTGCGCCTTTACCAGGCTTGCAAGCTAGATGCCAAACCACAGACCGCTCCAACCAAGGGACAATTCAGACTGCCCACTCTACACTCGACCAATTAAAACCAGTCTGGTTATGTACATCTCTGACAGGCACTATTTGAATTTTGTCAACCTTTTGTCTTTACTAGTGGTACAGGATGACACTATGAAAATGAGCCAGGCAGTTTAGAGCAGAACAGGACAGCAGCAGAACACCAAGCATCACAACGAAGGCTGACAGCTACAAGTCTGAAAACAGGACCTGCAGCAGCTGGGAAATGCCAGGCACAGGAGGCACAAGCATGAAAGGACAGTGAAGAAAAGCTGACCTAAATACTGTACTGCTCTGCTAACAGGCTTTAATTAGTACAAGCAATTAGGTTATTGCTTTGAAAAATGAGTACAGCTGAACTATAAGAAGCAAGGACAATCCCAAACACAAGAACCGCTTTAATAAATGAGAACAGTCTCCCACCACACAGCAACAACCTATTCCAGAGCTATTGCCTACAGACTTTCATATGATAAGGTTGCATGTATTTGGGGCAGGAAGGAGAACAGCAGAAAGCTAAATATGAATTTTTCATATAACATGACTCTTAAGAAATGAAAAAACACCTCAAAACCACTTTCTAACAAAAACTTTTAAAGGTCACTAGTGTGTGGGAGAGGGATGTATCACGAAAAAGATCCTGTAATATTTACTTAAGCTGTTCATATGCAATCAGATTATATTTTTGTTTGATGTGAGGGGGGAAGCTGGCTATGTCTTCTCTGGAAAAGAGATACTTTGTCCTTCTTCGTGTAAAACCAGGTTCCCCTCTAAACACAAAGCTGTCAGTATACTTGTCCTTGTAAAAAGTAAAAATCAAAGAACATAAGCTTACCAAGACGTTCAAATACTTATGGTATTATCACTTAATACTAAACTAGTACTTTTTTCAGTCCACATCAAAAGCAGTTCATATACTTTTAACATCACAAAACTAAAGGCATAGAGAAAGTCAGCACTGGACTTAATCTCCACTTATTACAATGTAATAACTTACAATCAGTTGCTCTCACTCACTTTTTACGCTCTCCCTTACTAGGGACTCCTCACGGCTTCACTACGCGATGACAGAACTTTGCCAGATGCACTAAGCTAACAGAGCTCCACACAGAATTATTCATCTAAGCAGAGTATCCATCCACAGGAAGACCACTGTATTTTGTTAAGCAGGCAGAGAAGCAAGCAACGTATGCTAAACTGCAAGTAAATAATTCTTGTGAGAAGACTGTCCCAAATTAATGATCCCAAACAAACTTTTTAGCTTTCTGTTGTCAGCTCCTTAGCATTCAGGAAGACTGACACTTTCAAAGTTTCCATCAACGTCAAGGTCACAACTAAGAGGAACACCTGTGCCATCTGATCCAGCAGCACAACCCCTCATTTCTCTACATGTGGAGCAGAGTTACCCAAGTCTGGCCCAGTACAATTTGGAGCAATCTTCGGTCAATAACACGAAATGGTGCATAACACGGAACACAGAATCTCAAGAGTCCTGTGTCACATCTGGACTTCTGACTGCACTAGATGGCTATTCACTATCCATAAACTTTACGTAAAGACAGGAAGGATCAAAGTACACACTATACTGTCCCATAATTTGTTGGGGAAATTACTTCTGGTGTTAAAATATATGCAAATTCCAACCTGACTGTTTATACTGTCAGGTCTGTTTGTACATCGAGGAGTCAGAAAAACAATTTTAGGTAGCTATTATGTATTTTCAGATTGTATTTCATCACTTGACTGCATCCCTGATAAGAATTCTTTAATTGGGAGATTTTTCTATTTTTTTTCAAATGCAAGGTAGTTTTGAAAAAATAAAAAGTAAACCACAAGGCAGGTCTATCATCACACTTTTTGAGGTGTTGACAACTGCAGAGGGCATCATACCTAATGCCCTGCAGAAATGCCAACCATTTCTGTAGTTCCATTTGATCTTGTATATACATCTGTGGATCACGCTTTTCATTATTTGGGTAAAATGGAAGCCCACGGTCAGCTGGTTACCAACAAGATGCATTAGGTTCCTTTTAGATTCCTCTTTCCACATCACAAGCATTGACTTTTGGGACAAAGGGCAAACATTTGGGCAATTTAAAAATTCACATTAAGTTAAAATAAGTCACATTCACTAAATATTCCTGATCATTTTCTTCCACACCTATTCCTCTGTGCAAGCCACCTGCAAATCTTAATTACAGATTCTTCTGTTTACCTAGAAAGAAACTGACCACGTTTCATTAAAAAGAGCCTGCTAGACCAAACTACCAAGTCTTTAGATGCTTTAAAACCTCAATGCTCAGATTTATTAATTAGTTTGCCTTTGTAGAATACGTAAAAGGCTTCACTATGGGCAAATTCTGACTTAAGCATATTTTGGACTCACTTGTCATTAAAAGTCTGGGTTGATGTTAATTATGGCACCTTTCTTCGTACAACACATTTTCCGGGCCTTTCAGCCTAGAATTCTTTTAATTCTCAATCTCAGACTAACTGCCACAGTTACTCCAGCCATCCTGTTTAGGTTTTCTAAATAAAACGCATCATTAGTTGTGCCTGTCTCCTCACTCTTCCAGCATTCCAGAGTTTATTAAATGAGCCTCTGTGGCTCAAGAATTCTCCGTCCAGTTAAAAAAAAAAAAAAAGTAGTCTCCTGAACACAGATCTTCTGTTCCCAGGAACTTAAATACAGTTTTGCTGCAATAACTTATTTTGCTGTTATAGGACTATGCTATTAGGATCCATTTTATTGCCTTTTTGTTCTTAAATCCCCCACTTTTTTTTTTAATGCTATTACTCTTGTGATCCAAGAAGTGGCAAACTTGTTTTTATCTCACAACTTAAAGTAGCCAGTTTAAGACAACGCTTCTCAAACTGAAGTCTAGACAAACTAAAGGTCTTTGTTTGCTTAGTTCCTCCAGTTTCTGATGATTATAACTAATAAATATAGAAATTGCTTACTGTTTATGACAGCATGTTATTTTAAAGAACTTTTTTCCGAAGCAGAAATTCTCTCAAAGTGACTCTCAAGACTGCATGACACAGGACTATTTTAGAAATTTTGTGTCTAATATCTCCCTATGAAAAAAGAACAGTCAATGCAGAAGCGAAGAACAACTAAAATGAACAAAAGAGTTGCCTACTCAACTGCCTGAGCTAAAGAACGTTTTAGGAAATGAAGTGACTTCCTCTTGGTGTAGGTGATTGCTTTGGAATGACGAAAAATGCTTGAATTCAGCTGGATTTAGCATAACCAAGGTCACCATACCAGCACGATGCAACAACAGGGAACAGTATTTGAAGGTTCTGTTGTATGAACTTTCAGCACCAAAGAGAAATTTTAAAGATCTTGGCCTAATGGGAAAAACCTACAATGAAACATATGCATCACTCTGACCTTGCAAAAGCCAAAAGAAGAAGTTATTCAGCCTGAATTTTCCTGCTCAGCTATTTGCTTTAGACACTCTTGTCTTCTCTGCTCACCACCCTTCTCATATGTACATTCAACAATATTTTCCCCTAACAAGACTCAAATTCAGTTCTGCAATAAAATTAAAAATAAGCTTGTTAATTTTCAGAGTTCTTCCTTAGAAGTTTATATTAAAAACTCATGCATCTTCAGGGCCTTATTCAGTATGGAATTTATCATTAAGAGATCCTCAGAATGGTTACTGTTAAATATGTGTCTCTCCTATAGCTGCGTCCTCTCACCTCTTGCTTCTCGTAGGGAATAGGTCTATAGCAAATACAGTAAACAGATGTAAAGATGCTGGCTGATGTACACACAACAGATTGAGATGCTGATTGCTAAAAATTCCTAGACTAAAATTTCACCCTGACTATGCACTCTCAAGAGGTACAAAACCAGATACTGAGTGGAATAATCAGCAGCCATCGCCATTACCAGTTCTTTGGTAATCATTATCATGCAAAAATCACAGGCTGAAACTCTTTAGACTGTTCTATATCCACCTCACTTTATTTTTTTGCACAATTTCCTACTCTGTTGGAGCTGCTCTACTATGTCTAATCCCTCTTCTGTAGGCCATTCAGCACAAGACTATTCTGATACTTACAGTTAAATGTTCTCTGTTCTACTCCACTTGAGAAGACATTGATTTAAAAAAAATACAAAACAACAAAGTATGTCCAGGATTCAGCAAATCGATTTTATTATTATTGTTTACTTTTCTGAGTGTCGCGCCCTGATGGGACTTGCTGCACAGACAATACTGTCAGCACAGGAAACGCATCAGAAATTGAATGGCTAGGGAGGAACATGGCATCATGGAGTTATGCTGGATTAATCATGATCTCGGGCAAATTATGACTTAGAAAGTAATGTTTTAGCAATTTTTTGTGCTGTTATAATGTAGTAGGCACAATAAAAAGACTATTACACCAGTGCATAATTTAGACAATCATCTTCTTCCATATCCAAATGCAGCTTTAAATAAGTTCAGAAAACAAAAGTCTAGCCACAGTATCCCTATTGCCTTCAAATGAATAGCAAGACATATACGTCAGCATGAACTGTGTTCTTAACTAAAGGAATCTGTTCATTTTCAAGTAGCACTGATGCAAGCATACTTTGAGATGAAAGTTGCCATAGACAGAAGGTATTACTAGCATAGCTTCTGCTCTGAAGTATACAACAATAAGTAAATTTATAAAAAAAAAAACACAACAAAAAACCCCAAACAAGCCTGCATACATTCCATACCTAATTAAAGAGAGTTGTGTAATTTCTTTCTGTGCCTAGGAAATTTCTATTAAAAATGCATGTTGTACTTCTAGCGTACAGCTCTTTCATCACTGTGTTTTCACATCACCCAGCCCTCCAGATTTCAGGCCTAGTTAGTGAACTAAAATTACAAACCTTTCCACTTGGAGTTAAATTAGAAGCAAACAAAAAATGCTGACATTTACTCTCTTGAGTCATAACAATCTTTTTTAATTTCAGTTTAAAGATGGAAGAAATATATTTTTCCTCTATTAAAAAAATAACCCAGTTTAGACTGATATAAAGGAAGCCAACTGAAGAAACTGAAAAGAGGCACAGCACTATGATACTGAAGTAAGTAAAATCTTTCTAATAATGCGCACTAGCAAGACAACATGAAAGTGAGATACAGAAAGTACTCTTTACCACTACTATGATCCCATACCTAAAGGAATGCATTGTCCAGCTTTATGAAAGTCATTCTCTGGATGATTTGACAACTGCAGAATAGACACTGCATACTCTTCCATTCAAATCTGTTTAAAGCAGTCTTCCAACATTAAAAAAATTCAATAATTGGAACATGCTTTATACACTCTAACGGCCCAACTGCTGATGTATGGGAAAGCTGGGTGTGAAAAGAATAATACGAGTGTGTGGCTGGATAGTGAAAAAAGAGGGGTGGGGGGAAAGATCTGAAAACTTCTGCTTAAACAATATAATATGTCTAGAAAACAGTAATAAAAATAAATCTTGAAAACACGAGCCAGATTATTTTTTTCCTAACTGTTCTCCAAGTCTTTAACAATGAAAAAAGGCACAGCATTTTTGAAAAGTTGAAGTATGCATAATCACTTTTTCACTATTGACAACTACATCAGAGAAAAAAGTAAATAAATCAGACTCCTGCCCAGTGGAAAAAAAAAAGATCTGCTCTAGCCTAAGCACTTTATCTAAGAGGAGGTTTCCTATCAGGTCCAAACAACAGCTTAAGACACTTTCAGGTTTCTTGCAGAGCACAGAACGGGAACAAGACCTGTAACAGCAGCCGGCCACTCTTGCATGTCGCACCAAGCACCGATCCGGCTGCAATACACAAGCACGAACAACTGAAGCGACACTATCCCATAGGAGAACTCCAAACTGCTGTGTCTCAGGGGCCCGCGCTCCTTCCTCCCCTTCTGCAGTCCTGCCGCCCTCCCCAGAGACAGGTTAGCGGTACTCTCCCGGCATCACCATGCTAGGTAGGGGAAATGGGACAATAAGCAGGCCTGGATCCCACAGACGCGACAGAGCCGAGCACCGCTTTGCTACAGGAGACCAGCAGGAACCCGTGGGACCCTCGTTAGGGACCCAAAGGAAAGTGACGGGGAGGGGAGAGGTGCTGGAAAGATAAAGCCCTGGGCAGAGGCAGACATAAAGCTTTCGCCAGCACGATGGCAGCAACAGCCCGCAAGCGCTGCCCTAGTCCCATCACCACGGCAAAGAACGGCGTGAAGCGGAGAGTCACCACTCCCAAAGGGAGAGGCAGAAGAGGGCGAATTATTCCGCCTTGCCAGGAAGCGCTCCGCCGCCTTTAAAGCAGCTTGGCACGCT